GTATTCATGGAACTTGGGAAACTAACTGTCTTTTCTGCAATTCAAATTAAGTGAGACCGTAATTAGACACTTTGTAGAATACTCAATTACAGTGTTAATAGTTTTACTCTAAAGCGACTAATAAATCAGCATGTGGACCGCAAAACTCGCAACTCGATGGTTCGATCGTACGTTCGTTCGTATCGTACGTATCGTATCGTACGATCGACGCGTTGATTTTAAAACTATCAATTAATGAGTACGGACCATTGTATTGACTGAATCGTATATCGAAGGACCTTACCGATCACGGTACAAACAAATGGTGATATCATGAAAACCGATGTGTCAGCGAATTTACCAAGGAGGCCATTAAATAAATCGAAAGAATTACGAAAACAGTACTAATTAAATAAGTTTTTAATATTTGATACTACCATGTTCTAATTAAGAGTTAGTTTTCTTTCTTAAAGGTTGCCTTCAACGTATGAATTTCATTTAAAATAAAACCCAGACCAATTAAGAAGTAGATCTGTCGATAAGACAACCTGTGTCATTCGTCTATGATATGACGTCCTTCTGTCCTCTAATATTTAAAAAGTGGTTTTATTTTCATCACTGAAACCGTAGCACAACACTGAACTAATTGCCTTACACACCACACGACTCCTGGTAAAGGTTTTTTATGATAATAACATTGAAAACCGTGATCTAAGCAACGCACAGATGGGGCAATATATCACTGGTTTCAGATGAGTCTCCAGTAAATAGCACTATCAAAGTTATGGTCTCCTGGTAATTTTTAAAGAGACCCACGAAACAGGTTATCATCTCAAGTCCCATTGTTTTTCTTCTCGTTCTAAAATTTCTTATTTGATAAAATAAAATGAAAATAATATCATAAATTCCTACCTGTGCATCCCAGCAGACCGCTGTGACGTACGCGTCTCCCCTCCACGGTTACCCGGGGTAAACTGGTGTGATGGAGTAAACTTAACCCGCCTGTTGGTCGGGGGTGGCACGGATCTCAAGAGAGTTGTTATTACCGATCCGATTGTGAGCCGGACAATGTAATTGGCGCTTTTAGCCTGATGACGTGATTATCGCTGTAAAAGTGGACTAGAGTATTTACGACGGCCTAATGGTTCGACATGGATATTTTCTTTGGGCCATTAAAGCAACAAAGTTAATTAAAAAAGAGGAGATTATAAGGATTTCACAGATTTGTGGCGTACTTAATGAATGATGTTGATTTTGATCTTGACGCCATACGGAAAAGCGCAAAAAAGGCACTGAAAATTCTACACGGACAAACTTAATAAAAATAAGGAAGATAAATTTAACAGAGCGGGCATTCTAAACATGGCATCAGAATCAAGCATACGGTACATTCTTGTATTTACTCCTATTCCCGTTGTACTGAATGCACCATTGAAACATCAATGAATGGTGCAGATGAAACTTACCTTTACTAAATGCACAATTGAACCATTAATGAATGGTGCAGATGAAACTGATTAATTTTGTTACGTTTGCACTAATAATTGGACAAACGAAGTATTATTGTGATGATACTTTGATATTTATACTATAAATTCAGCTTACAATGGGGTATTATTATTACTCTTTGCATGTTTTAATTAGTTTTTTATCATTTTAACTGCATAATTGTAAAACTCGAGTAAATTTTCGTTATTACAATGATTTAAACTTTTATTAGACACTAGTGGCCCGCCCTCGCTTCGCTTCGGTGTAGAGCTGTAGTGTAAACTATAGTTTTTGTTCTCAGGCTTGTGCTATAAAGAATGACTTTATTTATATAATTACACGTGTTATTGTGAGTCAACCATAAAAGATAGACATATGCTGTTGCGGGATATTTTTTAGACAATTTTATGTAGAATATTTCCGTCATACATGATTTCTATGTAACTTTAACCATTAAGGCTGCACCCGCGACGGAAGCTTAAAAAATGGAGTAACTTCTCCCGTTTTCCCAACATTTCCCTTCACTACTCTGCTGCTATTGATTGTAGCGTGATGAAAAGTATACTATAACCTGCCCAGAAGTATGAAGAATAATTGTACCAAGTTTCGTTAAAATCCGTTGAGTAGTTTTTGTTTCTATAAGGAACATACACACAGACAGACAGACGGACAAAAATTTTACTGATTGCATTTTTGGCATCAGTATCGATCACTAATCACCCCCTGATAGTTATTTTAAACATATATTTCATGTACAGAATTGACATCTCTACAGATTTATTATAAGTATAGATAATCGAGGATTTTGTTTATTGTTTTCATTCGGCATTCACATGTTTTTCAAAATTCATTTTTATGAGGAGGAAAGAAATGTGAAAAAATAGTATTCATATTATTGGTGCAAACGAAACTGATCAGTTTCATCTGCACCATTGATGGTGCAAGTCAATGGTGCATTCTGTACAACGGTCTCCTAATAATGACACTAGTAGAGGCCTACAGCAACTTCCGGGGACTGCTGAGCTTTCTGAAGGAGCTGGGATGGCAGGACTAATGCCAATCTCCACACAAAATGGGCACTGGGTGTCGAGTTGCGGAAACAGCCCACCGTACTACTAGGACTAAAACCGCTATTACACCTTCCTAAATCGCGTTCGAATTAGGATACTAAATGATTTAGTCAGTCAGAAGTCACACTTCTTCCGATTTAGGATGCTAATTAGGATCCTAACTTCCTAAATGCTATTTCACTTGACTGAAGTAGTTACTGAATAATTTAGAACGTCTGAATTTAGACAAGTGGAATAAGCGCTTAAGACGGGCTCCTAATGTCAGAAGTGGACGGTAAAAAAATAAGCGCTCATTGGCTTAGAAACCAATGTAAAATATTGTAGCAATTAAACTGTTTTTTTAAGAAGTCTTAAGTACATCATGCTTGATCATTATTTAGAGCGCTTACTTCAGATATGGACCAATAATATTGGTCCATGGTTGATATAAACAACGATAGACCAACTATGGTTTCAAACCTTGTTTAGGCAAATTTTGTAAGTACCTACAATGGCTAATCTCCACTCGACGGTCGTCGGTTTTAAATGCTTTTCATGTAGCAGTTATTAAGTAGAAATTACATAGAACCTTTAAAAATCAAAAGGCTCTGCGCAGAAGATCTCTTCCGAGTCTTCCATATATATTTTTTTTTCTTAAGAGTTCTCTAACTCGTGTCATGCATGATTCATATTAGGCAAACACGCTTTTCTTAAATTTATTGATTCCAATATCCCTTGTGCTTGTTTTGACAAAATATGTTGATATAATAGACGGTATAAATCACTTTATACGTTTCCCTATCTAATCGGGTGTCCAATTTGCCCCACGCCTCACACCCCAGCTCGCCCAGCAACAGTTGATATGGATGTTGCCAACTTCAACATTGAAATACCCTAAATACTTAATAGATAACATTTTATTTTTCACAGAAAGCGTAGTATATACTTACCTAGAGTAAGAAATTTGGCTAGAGTCGGTGAGTAAGATTTTCAGGGAACCCCGAGGTAGGAGGAGGGATTCAGACACTAGGTAGGCTCGAATCATTTCCTAAGCTTGAAGTACTTATATAAAAAATAGCGGATAGGGATAGGAATGAGTACAGGTCAAGCAACTTCTATATTATGTTGCATACGCATAAATTGAAATATAGTTGCTTACAATGTTAGGTAAAATAAAAACTGTGACAATTATTATTTCAAATGCAAGATAGGTTGTCAGTAAGGAGAAAATATTTTCTAAAACCAATCAGTGAATAGCAGAAACCGTAGAATATTTATATATAGCACTTCAATCATACTATATAAAATGGTAAGTATTTTGTGTTTACTGTTTTCTTGTGATAAATTCTCATGAAATTATTGCTTGTGCAATTTCATAATATGAGTCTATAAGTAAACAATTTTACTAAAAACAACATAAAAAATGTTAGTCATATTTCCTGTTTTTCTAAGAAAAATCAATTTTCCAACGCAGAACCGAAAATTTCAGAAAGTGGCAACATTGAGATTTCCACGAGGCACGGTTCTACAATCCGACCGATATAAGTTGTCGCATTGACGGTCAATATACGAACAGTGCGAACGACCAATTCTAATCGGTCGCTTTACAAGGGATTCTGCGTAAGCATCAACGGAAAACCTTAACAAGCTACACGCAAACTTAAACCTTACACATTTGACAATAAGAGTGAAAAAGTAAAAAAAAACTTTCAAATATTGCGACCTACATGAGTTTGATGTAGCCGGTCGAGTTTGCGTGACGTCACAATTTTATTACAATTGAGATCTGGATTTTCCAGAAATCTGAAATTAGCCTGAACAGTTCTAATTTTTTACAAGAAGAGTCTTGTCAAGGAGAAACAGAGGTTTCTCCTTGTATAAAATACTGAATTTTATATTGTTTACAGTACCCAAAGCGGTATTCTTGGGTAAAGTAACGAAAATATTAAATTTCGCCAAAAATAGCTCAGTATTTATTGATACTAAGCATAATTGTTTCTTTGGACCATTTACTTTTAATATTTAGCCCTTTTCATATTTTCTTGACATATGAACAAGAGTTTACTAATTTCTTCGAGACATAAAATTACAAAGATATAATTAAAGAAATTGTTAAAAGTGGTGAGGGTAGCTATTCGTGTTATTCGTGCCGCTATTTTGTCACGTACTTTCTTTTAATGCTTTCGCCTATTACAAATAAGTTGCCTGGTTTATTATTGAGATTAAAACAACAACTGTTGCAAAGATCTATTTATCTATCTTCATCTATTTTCACAACTGGACTCCACCTACACTTAACATCAAGTGGACTGAGCAAATTTGCTGCGCCTCGTATAAAAAAACCTACAAGAATAAACTTAACTTTTGCTGGAGTTTATTTATTCATACGGGCCCTTAGTGTTTTATTAATTGAAACTCTTTACCTATCTCCTTTTTTCGCAGTTGCCTAGAAAGCAGTTCGCTGGCGACCAAACGCCCGAAACCCACCTGTTGAGTACTCCTACTTCAAACTAGTTAGGCAATACGATTATTTGTCAATTGGGCGATTTAAAATTATAACACGAAGCGACTTTGCTTATAAAACAACATCAAAAAGATTTATTTAAAAAGAACATTAAATAGAACTAATAAAACAACAACTGGCGAGTAAAACAAAAAAACTTGTCATCTTAAGTACCAGGTGAGCAAAGATTGCGGAGCAGTTGCTTCTACCACAACACAGGTGACAGACCAACCACTGGAGGCCGGAGTTCTCAGATAAATGTACCAGGAGTCCATCGGAGTTGTAGAGTAAGTAGTCTTCGACTCGCTTCCAAATGTGAAACAGTGAACACTCGAGGAGAACTAGCGTTGTTATTATCTGTCAAAAAAGTAAAGAGATGAAATTGTTTGACAGCTGATTTCCTAGAGTAGCCAGAGTATGATTTTCGTGTTTTTTGAACTATTGACTTGAACCCGTTGATGGACCTTTTCATCAAAAAGTAATAAGAGTACAAGACTCCGCTTTCATATCGAAATAGACAAGAGAGAATAGAACGCCACAAGGCGCGGTCTATATTGGCAATTTTTGCTACCACTGCATTCACTGTACCTAGTGATACACATACTTTGCATACACGCTGGTTTTACGACTTTGACATAACCAAACTTCAGTACCCTTAGCACAAACCAATATCAAATTCGAATAATTGAATTCGATCTCGATACGCGTTAAATGTCAAGAAGATTTGTAATACGTAATCCTCCGAAGAACAATCCCAAAATCTCGACATTTTAAAATAATATCCCGATATTTAGGCTTTTCGATCTGGCAACTCTAAGACTATTGTGGCTGCTGAACATCAGTAGGTATATTGCTTATTATTCAATGAAATAAATAAAAAACTGTATTACGCTTAAAGGTGAATTTGTAATTGTTATATTATGTTGATTTATAATTACTTCTATTATGAAACATATTGGAGACAGATTCCTCCAGAGTATTTTCGGTAATACATTCACTCTTTTCAACACTAAACAGACTGCCATAAGGAACACCAGATTTGAAGATAAGTATTTGGTCTTCAGAATACGAGCTGAAATATCAAATGCACTCTGTTAAATTGGTTGCAAAGAAACTCAAAATTATAATATAGTCTATATTATTAGCTTATTACCATAATTATATAAAGTTTAATTAAGGACATAAGCCAATAATATAGACTACAAATTATTATGTAACTAGCAAACCAGTGAAACAAATGTTCACCAATTAAAAAAAATGTATTTAATTAATTGAGAACTTCGGAGATTTTATGTGGTTTCGTTTGAAATTCGTGATTTCTCGAAAACCGGAAGTGCTACGTTACTCAAATCCGGTTTGTAGTTTTATCAGACTATTCTTAACTTATAACTTAAACATTCTCTTTATCTATCTCTTACGGTTTGGCCGCTGAAACAGCACCACAGACAGACGGACGGACGGACTTGTCTAATAGATAAGAGATAAGAAAAAGAAAATCTAAAGCAAAAATTTCTCCTATGTTACCTAAAACACCTCAACTACTGAACAGTGAAATAACACTACCCTTTGGACCATATGCTTGACTGCCTTTGTACGAAAAAAGGACAGATTTACTATTCCGTCAATTCAATACAGCATGGAATCACACAAATAGTGTTCATTCGCACGTAACTCATTAAACGCAGCCGCACATTGAGCCATATGTGGAGCCCGCTAAACGCGACCACAAGCTGCGGGCGACTTTTTTTATATTTTTGTATAGTATCGTCGCAATCCGAGCATGCTGCATGATGCTGAGCCCCACAAGCTGCGAGAGTCGCCCGAGCTCGCTTCTTGTGGCCGCGTTTTGTCACTCGCTCGGCCACAGGACCACGATGCCGATGGTTTTGAATTCGACGACCTTTTCTACTTCTCAGTATAATGATAAACAATTCGTTGTTGTCAATCAATAGTGTTTCTATTTCACAAACGCAATTGAACACTGCTGCAAGCTCTTAACGGAAATGATTATTATTATTATTACTAGGTTTTATCAATTTCAACCATTCCAGTCGCCGTAGCATGAGCACCGCAACATTACATTATATCACGTTTTTTATCGCGTCTATTTGTCAAACTCCATAGTAATTTGACAATTAAGCGTGATAAAAACGCGATATACAGGGCGTCCCACAGCTATTAAAAAGTATATTAAATATTAAAGATAGGATATTTTACTGAAAGAAGACATCATTATTTTTTTAATAATAACTAGAATTGCATTCACAGATTTGTTTAAAATCGCCTGCTACAACTGGAAATCAAACTCGTGAAATTTCGAAATAAAAACGACATATTTTATGATAACCATCGAAAGGGTTAATCATAAGGATTATTTTTGGCTAAAGCATATTAAATGAAAGGAATGTCTTATTACGTGATAAAAATGATATAGTGATTTACAAACTGTAGTGCGTATGCATTTATTTTTGAACTCAAAGTCACAATGCGTAAGGCTGAAATTTGTAAAATAATATTATAGCTATTAACGGGATTGTTACCATGTACCTTGTTTTTTATGAGTCTCCGATATTTCGGCACTGTTGCAAGCGCCATGATCACGGAGTAACTGAAGTAATTGCGGGTAGATGTTATTGGCAGACATATCGGTCTACCCTCTGACGTCGTCTTTTACTGCGCTCGATACCCCTACCATTGGTCACATTCTCACTATTCACTCGCACCTGTTCCCGACACACAATACTCACAGTATCCGATCGCGGAACGACACTTTTTTGATTTTTACGGTTTTTGCACATACGAACCACTGGATTCCAGACACTTGACAATTTAAACCCATCCTCACGATTGAAATTTTTGTGTTTGGTTATTTCAATCGGTTCCCTGACCAATCTTGGTATGTAGTGGCGTTCTGTCGAGATGATTTGTGGATTATGGAGCTCAATCCAATGATTCGGACCCGAATCGATTACATGTTCCGCGATAGCTGATTCAGCAGATTCATCATCATTCATCAATCGAATCCCGTTAATAGCTATAATGTTAGTGACCATGAAAGTTTAAAACAATATATTGTAAAATAATAATTCGAAAATGGGACACATGCATTTTCAAGCGTCTGTTCTTTTGTTTTTGTGAGTTTCATTTTCGTTTATTTGCAATTTTTTGTTAATTTACTTACCATGGCGTATCAAAATAAAATGGATTTAATGGAAGATTACTTTATGAACCACAAAGACATATCAAGAGCTTTGCGGTGATACTGCGAAAGATATCCTGATAGAGACATACCTTCTCGATATGTGTTTAAAAGGTTAGTGGATTCTATAAGTAGGACGTTTTGATATGGGCTTACAGAGTGAGAATTTGCATTCAACAAAATGTATCACATTTTGAACATTTCATTTTTTTTCTTGCACCGTTTCGATTTTATATTAGTTTCTGTTAAATAGTTTTCAATTAAATGTTAAGTTTAATGACTTTTTTTGCATTTAAAATACTATGTTATGAAGTAAAAAATAATCCTTATGATTAACCCTTTCGATGGTTATCATAAAATATGTTGTGGTTTTTTTTTCCAAATTTCACGAGTTTGATTCCCAATTGTAACAGGCTTTTAAAAATCAAAAAATCTATGAATGTAGTTCAAGTTATTATTAAAAATAAAATGATGTCTTCTTTCAGTAAAATATCCTTATCTTCAGTATTAAATATACTTTCCCTCCCATGCTTTCCCTCCGTGTGTGGTAGCTTTGGAACGCCCTGTATAGCGGTGCTCATTCTAGGGGGGCAGATTATTATGATAATGGGAGAGATAAGAAAGCTTTTCTTTCTTACACAAAAAAGAAATGCCACTAGCATATAAGATTCAGCAGAATTGGATTGACCTATTGTAGTGTAGGAATGAGGGACAATAAGGTATAACCAACATCTTATTCTACTTCTGACTTCTCACAAAGGAGCTACGATGATAAATTATTTTTCTACGGATGGATTTTTCTTATCGCCCAAACCTACTCACCATTGTACAATATAGTGATTTCATTTACGAACAATGATAATGCCAACACAATCGATATAGTTTTTGTCATCTCATTTTGATACTTTCGTGGGATTTTATTTACGACTGTTTAAATTAAAAAAGTATGCCGCTCACAGAACTTGTCAAGCTGACACAATACCAACACGAAGTGGTGGTGATCTTGGACGAAGAATTTAGCTATGGTGGCTATCGAGGTGACGGCAACTAGGAAAAGAGGTGTTATCATGGAACAAGTAGCAAAATGCTCCATCCATGGTTTTTATTTTGTAACCCCAATTTATTTATTTTGGTCAATTAATATAATAACTTTTATCGGCTTATATTTTGTATTTTTTTAAAGCATGTAATGGCTTGATGTCTAAATCTAAAGAAAATATTGTTAAAAAAATCCACGCAGACCAGGCATCTTTAGATTTTAACATAGCAGTTATATGCTTAAAAAAATACAAAATATAACTATAATTTCTTTTTCCTTCAAATGTATTAATACTTGTAAAGGTATTCATTTGACATTATGGGTTACGTACAATGCTAAGAGATGGCGCTGCCTTGCAGCTTAAGAAAGGCTAGAGAGAATAAGACACGGCCGTCAGGAACGCGGTAACATAATGGTCAATGCATTCGCCCAGATAGCGAAGGGTGCGGGTTCGAGTCTCGTCTGCTGCCTGGTCCACGTGGATTTTTTTTCTAGCAATATTTACTTAGAATTTAACGCCTTATTACAAAACGTAGACTAAATTTAAACCATGACTAAAACCGATGCTGTCACTTGTATTTAGAGAGAATATTAGACTTAAACCAGGACTAATTTTAGTCCGCGTTTTGGAATAAGGCGGTAAGGTCCCCCGTGGTCTGGCACAGGCGAACAGTCATATCCTTAAGGATTGCAACCCCAAGAACTTATTTTTTCTACAGCAAAGGGTGGGAAAACATGTGTTTCATCCACAACTCAGTATTTGGGCCTTTTATTACACTTATTGGTTCAACTGAGGTCGCATCAAGGTGAATTAATTTGAGTGAATTGTGAATTCATTTTGGTTGAATTGTTTTAAGGGTTTTGCGTAGGCAAGCATGTAGGAAATTGGTATTCGATCAATATGATGGATAGAATATAGAATCAATCGCATAGAGAACGAGCCATATCCCACCACGTTCCTAATGTGGATCGGTGGATGTTAATGACTGTAGTCGGGACACATTAAATTATTTAGCGTAACCCTAGGTCGATTGAAGGTATAAATTTATGTTTGTAAGAATTTACCAGCAAACATTCAGTCAATAAACTTTAGGTAAGTATAACTTATACCTACCACCACCACTTATACATACATACCTACCGCCTACCTACTTCTTTGAATATGTTATCTTCAAAATTATTGTAATCTACATTTTAATTTGAAGAGATATACAAATCGTTTTTAATTAAGTAATACCTTAATCTCTTAACTCTGTTGAAAACTTGAATTATTACGTCTTAGTTGGACACGTCCATCAACTTTGAAATTTCATTAAAATTAATGCTATCATTTTAGTCCTGATAACAATTAAAAACGTAGGACATAATCTAATATTTTAAAAATTATTGACGTCTTTAAGTATTTTTTACCTTAAAACATAACATACTCTATAAATATCAAAATATTTCTTTTTATATCACGACAACTCTTAATTTATTTTGTTAAACATAAAAACTCTCAAGGTATTATGAGTAAATAACTTTTAAGGGACTATTTATACCTCAAAGACTTTAAAAGAGTCCGGCTTTTAAATATTGGCGAAAAATCATGGCAACTGTTTGCATACACATACGTGCCCAATAAAATCAGTTCTAAAGCAAACAATATACTGAAACAATACTAAAAGTTAACCACATGAATCGCGCAAAGCTGGCAGAAACAGAAAAAATATCCATCCGCATTTACGACCCGAACGGTCATAAATCGGTACTATAAAATGTTATCGAACAATTCAAAAACTCATTATTTCCATGACTAAAGAAACACATAGATATAAGGAAATGGCATCTCGAATATTAAGATGAAATAATGATTAAAAAGCTAGTGCCTCATGAGAGACAAGTTATTGTAGCTTTAGTTATAAACAGTTTTTATCTTTGCAATGTGAAAAGTTTAGAAGTGATAGAGATAAGTAATCAGGATAGGTTTCTTAATACAAGACATGTAGAACCCTCTATTTATCACGATGATAGTGTATTGTTTAGAGACTTTAAGGAAAAACCAGCACTAAGGACAAAGCTGGAGTTTGACTCCGATGAAACTGATGATAACGAGGAAGATATAAAGACACTGCTAGAGGAGAAATATAAGTTTAGAAATGACGAGATGTCAACAAGATTCAGGATTTCAAACGAGGACAAGAAATCTCCAGGTCTCGTAGTAGAATTCAACTCCTTAGTTGTAACTTTTGATGTTAATTATTATATACCTAATCAAATCCAGTATTCAGGAATGTGATATTATGTTAGAAAATTTTTGTAGGATACAGTATTGGACTTGTGCAGATAATCATAACACTCTTGCCTATGCGTTTTCTCAATTTGCTGAACTGATGAATGTCAGTTGGTCGATGATCTTTTATAAATTATTTTCGTTCCACAGTCGAATCGCTACCAAGAGTAATAAGCTTTTGATTTTCACTGATTGTCTTACCTTATATTATTAAGCTCTTGAAGGACCTGGTCCTTTACACGTCATTTATTTACGTAAAACAGGTGGCACAGAAATGCCTGCCAGATGGTAAACGGTCACCATAACCTATAAGAAGCCCGCGATCTTCGATTGCGAGCAGAGAATCATTCTCGAGTTGCGAGTATTCAAGCGTTATTCTCCGATAGAAACATATTGCTATTTATATTGTAATCTTGTTTAAGGTGGCACTCAAACTAAAGGTGTAAATCCGCTTTACACTGTAGGTTGGATATCCCAGAATATATTTCTGTTTATACATATTTTAAAAGTCGTTCATTAATTATTTTTCATTAAACTCTAGAAGACAAGCACATCGCCTGGGCGTTCCGCTCCTACGCTGTCCGCCGCATCGTCGGTGGCATGGAGACCAGTATTAGCATGTACCCTTATAACGTGGCCATCTCCAGAAACGGCAAACACTGGTGTGGTGGCTCCATCATCGATGAGCAGTGGGTCCTGACTGCTGGTCATTGCTTTGAATCGTAAGTTAAAGAATACAACTTTTCCGCTCTCACTGAGATTACGTTTATGTACTTGTGCAGGAGCCTTAGAAACTGAGATAATATTATTTATTTAGCCTTGAATAGCTGTGCAATATTCTTAGATTACTTAAATTTTTTCGCAAGCAAATATTGTCAGTTATCTATCTGATCAACGGTAAAACACCGTATAGACTTCAGACTCCACCGTATATAAAATAATTTGAAATGTACATTTTATAAGAACATAATAAAGTATTTGTCTTGAAATATTGTGACGATAGTTACTTTAACATAAATCAGTAGAAGACAAAATTTATGTAGCGCGGCTTGTAATTTTCAACCTACTCCAAAAGGAGGATGCTTGTCCGCAGTATTTATTGAAAGACACTTTTAATGCTTTCTTAAACAGAATGTGTCTGGTAGTATTAATTTCAAATTGTTTACAATATTCTTTACGGACGTAAGAATCAGTCCTCAGACTGTAAGTAAAGTGAATAAAATTTCACGTGCCTGTGCCACCTGATACGATAACCCTTTGGCACTTTTGAAGATTAAATACCTATGTCGTGTGAGGTATAAATTATAGTTTAAACGAGCTTTTTAAAAGGATTTAGTGAATACTGCTCAAATCCTATAAAAAGTAGAGAAAAAATATTTTTTAACAAAATATAAACCGACCGAAATCCGCGTGTTTACCATATACTGCTTGAGTTGAAATGGCACTGTCACCAACCTCCTTAATAAAAACGAGGTATAAGGTAATTAACTACTCAAATGTTAATTTGACTTTAAATGTACTTCAGATATAACTGAGGAATATATAAATTACTTTATACTGACCTGAATATATATTATTTTATACTGAATGACCACCTCTGCGGTCGAGTGGTCCCGGGTTCGAATCCCGGTGGGGGCAAATGTTTTTTGTGTGATGAATTCGAGCAATTGTACTCCAGTTATGGATGTTTAACGAGTATTTTTATATAAATATATGTATAGTATGTACAGTATATGTATTCTATCCGTTACCCTAGTATCCCATAACACAAGTCTTACAGTGCTTACTTTGAGGTTAAGCTAATTGGTGTGAGTGTTGGAAATATTTATTTATTTATACGTTTTAGTGGTTTGGTTTTTATGAAGTCGGTTTTTATTATTCTTAAAAAAGTTTCTTATGAAAGAATCCACCCATAGCACAGAACAGATGATTAAGCTCAAATGCTATGCTCTGTTTTTATTCGCCTTGTGTTTTTGGAATTTTCTTATTTCAGAGCATTCGACGGTAGCAAGAAAAAGCTGCAACCGTTCATAGTTAGAGCTGGAAGTTCGTTCCACAATCGAGGGGGTTATCAAGCCAGAGTGAACAAGGTAATAATAATAATAACTTGTTTAACGTATTTTGTGGCAAACTAGGATTACAGGCAGTCCTCGACTTACGTCGTTTCGATTTACACGTCGTTTCATGTTATGTCGAACAATGTTTTGACACTATTCCTCAAACATAAGTATTTTTTTTTCGATTTCCGGCATAGGAGAATTCACTTGTCGCAATGTCCGTGGGGACGGCGGGGCGCGGTGCCGGCGAGCAGGGATTACCCCGCACATGTAGCTGATTATGTTTACTTCGTTCAGGGCAACGGACAATCAAGACGTAATACATTAGTTTTTTTGCATCTTTGATAGATTTTGTTTTTACATACATATACGAGTATAAGTGAATTTTAATCTTACTATGCCACCTTAATAAGACATTTTGAGTCCGTGTGGATCCTAACCCTTGAGTTTTATGTGTAAACGTAAGAAAAAATATGTTTTGACTTACGTCGTTTCGATTTACGTCGCGTATTTCGAGAACCTAACATGCCGTAAGTACAAGGACTGCCTGTATTAAGAAATTAGTTCTTTTGAGGACACTTCTTCTGATTTAATTCATAATTTTAATGGAATCCTATTGATAATATAAAAGGAATTCTTGTTTGCTACATGAGGTGGTATGCAAAGTAAGAAATTTAATTACCGAACCAATATCGAACGCTGAGTGCACGAGTTTTCGACTAATGCCTGCTCTACACATTGGCCAATATTTTGGCGAATGGTTAAGGCTACTTACATCGGTGCTTCCCCATACTGCTAGTTATTACCTCTGGCCATATTGTGAGGAGAGGGGGTTTGTGTTTATCTTGGTAGGCATTGGAATGATGGCCCACAAGTCGGCACAAGATTCGTGTGGTGTTGGTTTTTGTCAAAGGAATTGTGGCGGAGTTATGGCCGTCGCATCCACACGTTGGCCGCGTGTTTAGTTTGCTACGAGCTTCCAGAGTGATCGAATGCACGCACTTGATTAAAATTTTACATTCTAGTAGTACACTAACTATAATAGGAATATGCTGTGAATATATAAACCGCAGCAGCCGTTAGCGTCTCAATATCCAATTTAATAAATTCGTCCGCACACTGTCCTGATTCGAAGCAAACTGAACAACCTTCCAACGTGTGGGCGTCATCACCAACACTTGGCTAATATCTTTGCCACAATATTCGCCATGTTGTTGGCCAACGTGTAGAGCAGGCATAAGTTGATTGCGTTGCCGTAAGCATGTTATGACCAGTTTCCCTGTATGCCCTGATTTGTCTATTTAAAACTTAGATTAAAGGACAAGGGATGATACGGCACTCGCAGCTCAAAAGTGTACCACTTAAATTGTAGTGCATGACCACAATACGCTTTGGTCACAATTGGACATTCAATCACGCTGCATGTGCACTCAATATAACAATATTGCGTATATTCTGTGTTATAAAGATAAAACAATGATTTTGATGCTTTTATAAAAAACACAAATAGTTCAAGATCATATAACAAATGCCACGGCAACACTCTAGATTCGTTAAACTATACAAACATTTTATTTCCAAAAATCACGGTTTGTCATGAATGCCATTTACTTATTCGCATTTGTTATCAAGAAAAGGGCAACAATACAGCTCAGCCATTTGTAGTGAGAAAAAAGAAAACGCAGTCGGATGCCCAGCGACGCGGACTCGTCGTTTCGCTCGCGCTTCGTTGAAGCGTACTGTTCTGTCTCGCTCGCTCGAATGAATGATTATTTACAGAAATGTGCGTGTGAGAGTTGCTTCTGTAGTTGAGTCGGAGCATATTTTATTTGATGATAGTATGAGCGTACCGTATCGAAAGGTGAACCTTTAACGTATACACTTTAGATTAAGGCACTAGTGGTATTAAAACATGCCTAAATAAGCTTTGTATATGAATCCTGCCGTGGTTCAACACCACTTCTTTTCTAAAAAAATATGACATGATGACATGAATGACCTTTACGAACAAAATGAATGAAAACGTTTGTATTAAAAGGTCCTGTCGTTGAACAACCCATAAACGATACATAAACAACTCAATCAACAGAGGAATGTTGTTGTCGGATTTAAGTTTCAGAATCAACAATGAAGAGTATGATCATCTGTTTGTTTTAGGTGTTTTTCCCGAAAGATTATACACCTGGCAGTGCTGATTTCGATTATTCTTTGTTACGATTGGACAGACCAATGCCTATCGGACGAAATATAGCTGTGCTAAACCTACCTTCCAAAGAGTATACCGTGAAAGAAGAGGACCTTCTTATAGTCACTGGATGGGGAAGCACCGATGTAATGGGTTTTCCGTTTTAATTATTCTTATAAGTAACTGCTTTTGTTTAAACGTTTTAAATCGCGGCACGAAACTCCAGCGCTGACCGTAATTGCGCAGAAGTAAAAATTAAGATATCTTGGGGACTAACGAGGTGCGCGGGTGGGCGTACATTGCGCCGATTGGCTCTCCAGTCGTACCCATGCGCAGATATCCCCTCTACGTTTTGTTCAGTACTTGAGTTACGTGCCGCGACCTGTTGTGCTGTTAGAGGACTGATTTCTAATAGCAGATTTTTCTCGAACTGAATTGGAGCGCCCCGTCGGGGTAGTAACCTCTACCTTACAGAAAACTACAGTAAAATAACACTTACTTTTGATGTTGTTGTGTTTCTGTCGGTGAGTAAGGTTCTAGGGCTTCACGGGGTAGGAGTTTGGGTCAGGTAAGGCGACGGTGCAAGTACTGCGAGTGATATTTTCGGTATCACAAGCGGCTATAGGCTATGGTGGGCGCTTACCACCAGGCGGGTCATGCGCTTGGGAATCAAAGCATCTGTCTGAGGAACTCTTGCATACTTGCAGTGGGTACTTATGGTTTATAAGGATCCACAAAGTAGGGGAGACAGCCAGCAGGTGAGAAACTACCCCCAATGTTTCGTTGGCATCTCTACACTATGGCCAGTCGACTCTGGAGTAGAGTGAGAGGAGAGACCGAGATCGCTCTAGACGCCGGGTGGCATTGTAGTCGCCAAATGCGAATACAATTTTCAAAATTACGTCAAGTGAAAGCTTCAAACCAATCTTTGCGTTTAATGCACAACGGAAGCTGGTTTGAATTCGCCAAATATATATATGATCACCTGTATTTAATAAATATAAATTAAATAGCAGATAAGTAATTCTGTAAGCATTTTTAAGTAACAATTATACTGTAACATCGAGACTCACTGCCCCCACATTCAAACCAGTTTACATGGCTTTGTGGGACTATGTATTTACAGCAACTATGTTAATGTAATTTGGTTATAAATATAAATAATCCCGTCTGAAACCTGGACTGAGTGGATTTTTCTAGTTTTTTTTTTTAAATTTAAATATCTAGCAGTTAAATGCTTACAAATCCAAATATAATAACATACAATCTATTGCACAGGAGTCGGGTTTCGGCCACATTCCGGACCGGTTGCGGTTCGTCCCAGTGCCCGTGATGAAGATCAATGAATGCCAGAAGTCGTACCGGTTCTACATCACCCCGAGGATGCTGTGCGCGGGATACGCTACCGGCGGGAAGGACGCTTGCAATGTACCTACCCTATCCCTCTTATTAATAAACGAAGAATAAGCTTAGAATGGTTACGCCGTGTTTTGTCCATGTCACTCAAATGCCATTTGTCATTTGATAAACAGAGACAAAACACGAAGTAACTAATCCAAGCTTAATCTGCGTTTATTAATAAGGGTGTATAAGTATATTATAAGCTATTCGTAGTTATCGCCAGCATTCGCAATGGTCGGGATTGTGTCAGATTATATATTCGTTCAATGAGGAGCTCGACTGTGCAGGTGGATACCGCATTCGGCCTGCGATCGTGGAAGTTAAGCAACTTTCGCAATGGTCTGTCATTGGATGGGTGACCAAAATTTTTATCTCCGTGTTTCGAAAGGCACGCTAAGCCGTTGGTCCTGGCTGCATCTGCAATTGTTAGCACCCACCAATCCGCACTGGGTAATGGCCCAATCTCCCTATTCCATCCATGGGGAAGGCCTGTGCCCCAGCAGTGAGGACATTAATAGAGTTAATAATAATGAATCTTTTAAAGAACAATGAAGTCTTGTAAAGAACACAAAAATCAAATCGGTTAAAAAAAACATATATTTATCATGTCTAAAACCGTCTATCGTATCGTATTGTTTACGATAACGAATGAACGTAAAAACTTACGATAATCGCCGTTATACGATTATCGTATCGGTATCGTTCCATCGCCAAATGAATTTCAATCTTTGTTGGTATTTATTTTATATTATTGTTAATTGTAATTTCTATCCTACGTAATCGTTTTAATTTTTGAATTGAATACAAACTAACTTTATGTAATTCTCTAAAGTACTATTTAAACATTTATGTTATACTGTTTAAAACGCTGTTGAAACTTGTTCATGATAAATAAATAAATAAATTTGTTTCTTAAATTGACATTTAAGAATTCAGAATTAATTCAGACAACGAAGTTTTTAGGCTTCGATGCGAAACGTCAAAAAAACAGCATTTTGAACCAGTTTAAGCGTGATTCATTTAACAATATTCACAATTAAGTTATTGAATTAATCGTTTTTCTACTCTTAAACCTTAAATTAAACTTAAACCGAAAGAGACTATACCGAGTAAAACGCCGTCGCGGACCGCTGGGCCACCGGAATCGTGCTGGAAACAAGTTTTTTTTTAATAATAATAATATATCTTTATTCAAATAAATTCTATTCCAGCACGATTCCGGTGGCCCAGCGGTCCGCGACGGCGTTTTACTCGGTATAGTCTCCTTCGGCGGCAAGCAGTGCGGCGACCCCAGGTCTCCAGGGGTCTACAGCCGAGCCTCCGAGGTCACCCCCTGGGTGGAGGACACCATCACTGCCAACGAAGCATACACGGTGCCAGAACTGCTGCCCAAGATAAAGAAGGCTAGACAGAGGGAAAAAGAACTGCAAAAGTGAGTAGTTAAATTTTATTGGTACTAATCTAAAATCCTTATGATGTCGCAAGCTGTGCAAAATACACCATCACTGCCAACGAAGCCTACACGCCTACACGCTGCCAGAACTGCTACCCAACATAAAGAAGGCTAGACAGAGGGAAAAGGAACTACAAAAGTGAGTAGCCGCCTTTTATTGGTACGAATCTGAAATCCTGAGGATGACACATGCTGGGTGGAGGACTCATCTGCCAACGAAGCCTACATGGGGCCAGGACTTTAACCCAAGATGAGAAAGGATAGACAAAGGGAAAAGAACTGCAAAGTGAGTAGCTAAATTTTATTGGTGCTAATCTAAAATCCTTAGGATGACGCAAGCTGGTTAAAATACACCATCACTGCCAACGAAGCCTACACGCCTACACACTGCCAGAACTGCTACCCAACATAAAGAAGGCTAGACAGAGGGAAAAGGAACTACAAAAGTGAGTAGCTGCATTTTATTGGTACGAATCTTAAATCCTGAGGATGACACATGCTGGGTGGAGGACTCATCTGCCAACGAAGCCTTCATGGGGTCAGGACTTTAGCCCAAGATAAGAAAGGCTAGGCAGAGGGAAAAATACCTGCAAAAGTGAGTCACTACATTTTATTGGTACTGATCTAAAATCCTGAGAATAACGCAAGCTGGGTGGAGGACACATCCACTGCCAACAAAGCCTACACGATGCCAGAACTGTTACCCAAGATAAAGAAGGCTAGACAGAGGGAAAAAGAACTACAAAAGTGAGGATCTGCATTTTATTGGTACTAATCTAAAATCCTGAGGATGACGCAAGATGGGTGGAGGACACATCCACTGCCAACGAAGCCTACACGGTGCCAGAACTGCTGCCTTAGATAAATAAGACTAGATAAAGTGAAAAAGAATAGTAAAATTAAGTTAAAGTAACTTAACAACATTTTATTAGTACTAATCTAAAATCCTGAGGATGACGTAAAGGAACTGCAAAAGTGGGTAATCAATATAGGTACGTATTTTAATTAGTAGGGTAGGGACTTACGTCTAACAAAAAATACTTATGATGGTGCATTGGTTACTATATGCTTTAGAAATAAATTAGGGGTGCAACGATACTGATACGATAATCGTATATGTAACTTTTTACGATCATTCGTTACGTAAACATTACCATACGATATAATACGATTCATTGTTTCCCAATATTTTTACATTTTTACAGTAGTTACCTACTACAGTTTCGAATGAAACAAAACGCATAACGCTTTTATTCAATCTTTTTTAATTGTTGAATTTTTGTTCAATTTTCTGCGTTAAAGCTACCAATGTCAAACAAAAGGGATAAGTGTGTTCAGACATTGGTGTCAATTTTGGCATGATATTAAATTTATTTGAAGCTTTGTTTGTATCGTACGTAGGTCATTGCCACCGATCGCCATTTTCGTTCAATACACACTATCCTTGCGAAGGACCTGCGTACGATACAAACAAAACTTCAAATAAATTTAATAAAATGCTTAAACAAAAATCGTAATGCATTCGTATCGTATCGTGCCATTACGATTCATTCGTCATTCGTATTTGTATCGTATCTAAATCAAGGTGCGATCGAAATTAGCAACTCATAAGAATTTCTAGTAAAAGAGTTGATGCGCCTCTGTACATAGAAAAGATGGTTTATGAGTAATGTGACCCTATTTTAAATGTGTTCGTAATTAATCGTTGCCTGAATGTTGGTATCGATTCTTGCTTGGCTACATTATTCTAAAATTTGTTCTATAATTTGAGTTGCTTGGTATTATAACACACGTTGTCTATTGTATCCCTACTCTTTCTCCTTTTTTATTAGATACTGATGCTTGTAGTACCTACTAGGTACCAACCATAGTTCTTATGAATTTCCGTTTCGAAAAACATTGTAATGAAAGCATTACATAAAAATAAATGTGCGGTTTATTAACTTGTACCTATGTAGGTATACCTATTTATTCAAACATTACTGTAATATATTGGCAGGTTCAAAGCGCGGGTTGAAGATAAGAAGAACAAAATCAAGAACTGGCTCCGTGAGACTCTAAAATCGCCTTCTTTCATTGCACTCGCAAAGAAGAAACTGAAAGAAGCAGGCCTTCGCACTCGTCGCAGTTATGCAATCAGAGAAACCAATAACAGTGCTCTAGATGATAAAACGATTGATGAAATTTATCTTTCGAATATGATCAATGATTGGATACTAGATGATGGTAGCAGCGAGCCAGAGAAACTTCTAAGGGCACTTGCTTTACAAGAAATTATGCTAAATGAGAATAGTGAAGAAGAATCAATAGCCCGAGCGAGCACTAGTAGTGAGAGTGCTGAGACACTAATAGCTGTAATAACTGGCAAATAATAAAAAACAAACAGAATAATACCTTTCTACTCCTTTTATTTATTTAATTCATTTTATTTTTGGTCTCAACATTTTCCGAATTAATAAAGCGCCACCTAGGGTAATAAATATGCACTACAGTGTTTTAAAAGCATAACCAACTGTTTTGGTTCTTTCCGCTATCAGGTACTGCTACTCGACGCAAGGTGCCACTAGCAAGTTTATTCTTAATTTATTTTTTTGTACTAAATAATTAATAATCGAAGTCTCATTCATTTTACTGTGATGGATGATATTTTAAGTAATAATGAATTGCTTATCAGTACGTACGTTAATGAGTTATATTATTGCCAAAGTACAAGCATCGAGTGTAAAGAAATCATAACTGTTATGCTTTTTTATGATTATTCGTATCGCTACTCGCCGCTAGATGACACTAAACTGCTGAAGGTAATAAAATTTAAAAATAAGAAAGTTTTCGATAAAATAATAATTCTGAGAAAATCCAATAATAAATTAATTATAATTCTGAAATACTCCTTTATATGTAATAACGAATAACTTAGCTTTGTTACATAGATTCATAAGTGAGTTTTTTCATCTTGCATTAAGTAGTTAATGTAAGCGTAATTAAGAAGCAATAATTTTATATCTATTATAAAAAGTCCACATAGTTAAATTAAAATACCCATACACATATTTTCTTATCCTAACCACATTCTTTCCTATTTTTTATTCTAGTAGTCCTTATTGTTATTTACTGTTAATGTTAATGGAAAAGATTTTTTTTTCTCAATTATAAATCTTGCAAATTAATGCTTAATATTAAAATTAATAATTTTAAATAACAAAAGGTAGTCCCGTCTGGGACAACGTGAATTTTTTTCTAGTAAACGATGTGTCTTTAGATTTAAACATCCAGCAGTTAAATGCTTAAAAAAATATCTAAAACAAAATCTTTAGAATAATAGGGAACTAACATATTCTTGAAGTTTTTATCATAGTACCCACCTAAAGTTTTTGAACTTTCATCCTTTAATTTTTTCTCAGCCGGGCGATAAATTTACATATATTTTAATAAAGATTTTTCTATAAGTTTTCATAGAAACGTGACATACAACTGACGCCATTCAAGATTGCGCGCCAGGTGACAATTAAAATAGTTTGTCGTTGCGTAACGCACTACCAGGACCGCATAAACTTCAACATATGTGCGGTGCGCACTATTGGAGCCTACACACACATCACTCAAAGTGACATAACACTGCAGTTGATTTTATTCTTGTTGATCGAAAAACCGACTTCAAAATTTTAGCCGGGCTTTAAATGTAAGTAGTTCTAGTAAAGAATTGTACCATACTTTTAAGCGGTTTTAAAATTTTGTAGGCGATTTTTATTTTTGTTAAAATTGATTTTATTTTCCACTTTTTATAAGCCCAAATAACATTGACTAAGTATAGGTTACCTGTACTGCATTTTAACTCACCCCTTAAAATAACCAAACACGAATTGAGTACTGTTTGTAATTGACTAGTTCCATTGTTTTCTCCGAAAGTACTCATGACATCTTCACCAAATTAATAGACCACCTCGCTAAAAAACTGATTCAAACAAAAAAAAAAAGAATCATCAGTCTCGAAGATATGTGCGAACAACAAAGAAATAAATATTCTGATGAATTGTGAACCGGCTCCTTTTTACCTTCAATCTCAACTTCTCTTTACAATTTTGAATTCAGATGAATTTTGAATGACATTCGTATGATGTCACACACTAGTGAGACGCTATAATGTTCAGAGAAACGTTTTCGCGGCAACCTAAAAATAGAATTTTGTTCCTTTTTTTACTGAATTACACAACAGAATTTAAAATAAAACCACTTTTTATGGCCTCGAGATCGTCTTCTCAAACTTGGCATTTAATTTTATTTAATACTAAATTCAGTCCTTACAGACAGGTACCTACTCAGTTGTATAAGTCTTGATTAAGCATTGATTGAATTGACTGATTAACAAAAACTAGACGATGAGCGAACAGAAAAGATTTGTTTAAGGCTTTTTCTAGTACTAGAAGATTACAAAACTAATAAAACTCAAATCTAAATAGAACAACCACAGTTTTCATTTCTACTTTAAAACTATTAAGTAAGAAGTTACTTAAACAAAATTTACCGCAGACTTTGTTTTTGTCGTTTAAAAAACATGAATTACAAAAAACGAGATAAAGTGTTTTGTTTGATCTGTTAAATTTTGTATAGTACATTGGTAAAAAGGATTTTGTATGTTAAAAAGATAGCAAACTAGCATAGCGTCAGTGTCGAATCAATATTTAATCTGCTAAGTGCACTTTTTGGAGATATCGACATTTCCATCATTATGACTAGTATACTGTGGTATACTAACCGATTTTCGAATACTGCTTTATAATACTGCTTTGCGAATTTTTGCGTTATAACGGTTAAATTTAAAGTTTGACATAGCAGATGCAAATAAATTAATATTTTACGATACAAGTTCAAAATCGCTGAGCGCGCTATGAAAAGGACTATAATCGGCGTTTATCTAAAGGATCGCATCAGAAATAAGGTGATCCGACAGAGAACCAGAGTTATCGACATAGCCCACCGGATTAGCAAGTTGAAGTGGCAGTGGGCTGACCATATTCTCCGCAGAACCGATAACCGTTGGGGTAGACGAGTTCTGGAGTGGAGACCGCGTCTAGGCAATCGTAATGTAGGACGTCCTCAGGCACGATGGAGTGATAATTTGCGCAAGGAGCTGGATGCGAGTAGCCAAAGATCGATCTGAGTGGCGTGCAATTGGGGAGGCCTATGTCCAGCAGTGGACTAAGATAAGCTGTTGATGATGATGATGCAACAGCCAGAATAATGTCAAATATTAACTGTTATGTTAAAGTTTAATTTTTTGCACGTAACGGATATTGGTTTGACAACGACGATAGATGTCTTGTGCTTGAAGGTAAGTGGCCGCCATAGCCTATACACGCTTGCTTTGCTTGTTCAGTAACACTCGTGCGTCGCCTACCCTAACTCCATCCCTGCCCCGTTCCAGGGTTCCCCTGGAAACTTACTCACCGGCAGAAACACAACACCACCTAAAGTGGTGGTTCTTTGCCCTCCCACGTTTTCCCTCCTTCCTACAATATGGGGTCCTTTAAGAGAGGCGTGAAGAAGCATTTTTGCTGGTCGGCAAGGTGAAGATGGTTGTTGTGGCAGTTTATAACTGTTGTACCAGCTATCTTTACGTCTCTTCTACCTATATATAAAAAAACTTAAATTTTATTAGACATAAATTCATTTGGACTAGTCCCCGTATCATGAGCACCACGATTTATATTATATCAGGTTTTTATCGCGTCTAACTAAACTGCATAGTAATTTGACAATTGAGCGTGATAAAAACGCGTTATATATCATATCGCGGTGCTCATGCTAGGGGGCAGGCATTGGATGGGATGTACAGTTCCTTTCAATCGTTCCTGATACGAAAGATTCTTCGAGGAGCTCGATGGCGCAAGTTTTTATTAGTGCGTTCAGCTGCGATCGTTGAAGTTAGCAACTTTTGCAATGGTCTTTCATTGGATGGGTGACAAAAAATTTAATATTTTGACCTCCTCCGTGCTTCGGAAGACACTTTAGCCTGTTGATCCTGGCCGCACCTGCAGTCGTCGGCACCTACTAATCCGCACTAGGCCCGTGCGGTGGGTTGTGGTGGCCTAATCTCCCTATTTCATTCATAGGGAAGGCCTGTGCTTCGGCAGTGAGGACATTAATAGGATGATAATGACGAAACATTACAATGTAGGTAGGGATTTTCAAGAAAATATTATCTATGTACCTGAGTAAATATTAAATCGGGCACTGTAAGATATCACTGTTCGTATTATCAACTTATGCATTATCCAGGAAACAAGAGGACAGAGCCGTGAGCTAACATTAGAGATCGTTGACTGATAAAAAAATTGCAGTGACTGATAAAAAAAAGTGCATTGCTTGCGCTGAGTTCAATGAAACTTAATCTTTTTTTTCCCGCTATATTACATTTTATGATACGAATACGCAATGCAAAATTGCAGGAATTAATTTTGAAATAGTACTTTTTTTCTTATCGTTCGCTTTTATGCGGTTTTTTCTATTTCATATATTTTTTCTTTATGATATTGCTACTTATATTGATTTGAAGTAATGCCTATTCTTTATAAGTTAGAATAGTACCTAATACTAATAGATTATCGTGACTACGTCTGTCTGTATTTTTATAAATTCTCCTTTTTCCAAACTTACCCGAATTCGAGTTTTATTTTCTTTACAATTAAGGCTAAGAACTCACGACGCGATTTTTTCTGGCAGCTGGAAAGCTGTTTTTTTTCAATACTCACGAAACCAATTTTGTTGGAAAAGATCAAAACTGCGGGAAAAGATCGTAGACTTTACGGGCCCACGGGCTTTAAGATTCAGGACGTGCCTTTTGGTCTGTACCGCCGTGTCTCTCGCGTCACGCACGCGCCCGCAGCGGGTTCTACAAACACCCGCGCACTCTGCGCCCGTAATACCGGCCATACACACTACGAGAAATCGTTACGATCAGACTACAGTTCGAACGGAACAGTTTATACGATTTCGTTTAGTATAGGAAACTGTGCTTTTTTATAACATACACGCTACGATTTATCGGTACCGTTCGGACTGTACAGTCTAATCGTAACGATTTCTCGTAGTGTGTATGGCCGGTATTAATCTCGCGGTGAATTTTGCTCAACAGCAGCGGCCGAGGGAGAAAATCGCGCCGTGAGTTCTTAGTCTAAGGCCCGTATAGAAAGATTTTCAGTAATGAATCTAGTCTTGTGTATAGTTAGAAAAGGATGTCGCTATTTAAAGCACATAGCGACATCCTTTTCTAACTGTACTCAAGTAAAGATCAACACTTAGTTGTCATTATGTAATACGGGCCTTAGTCCTATGTCATCCTTAAGGCGGCATTCGGTTCTTAGCGACACCCAAAAGCAAATACGACAACGTGT